GTATAAAATCCAGGGAGAGATTAATGGAAATGTGAGTTCAAAGAGAAAAAGAAAAGGTCTAAAATTTCCAAATGTTACAAAAATAATGTTTTCATGTATTTTGTAATAGCTAGTCATGGGCCCTCTTAATAATAAAATGGGAAAGAGAACAATGGATATGGAATTTCTATAGGCACTTTTTTAACTGAATCCCCTACCACACATAGACGCTTCTTTGATGGTTGGTCCCCTTAGTTAGAAGAGACCTTCTGAAGAGTTCAAAGGACATGAAAATGAGATAGATAATAAGGTTTACACTTGTGTTCAGCTTATTCCAGTTTAGGGGGAAAAATGTATTCTGGTGCATCCAACATTTATTGCCCCGTTTGACTTTTAATGAAGCATAGGCAAGGCTGTCCCACCACCTCTCTGCCATCTTGTCAAGTTTCAGCATTGCTAACACAGATGCAGCTTAAAGTAAAAAGTAAGCTTAGAAAGTCATGCAGAACAGAGCCGTTGTCCTGGGGGCCGGATAGCAAAAGCAAAACCAAACCAAATACCACAGAATTAATAGATGGGAAATGCTGTTTAGTAATTTGAGTGTAGACTTTGTCATTTATACAGAAGGTGAGTCTATAGCTTCAATGTGGCCAATACATTTAATCTCTTAACTTCTAAAATAAGCATTGCTGTGCTAATGAAAACGGAGGCAACTACATTTTTATTTATTTATTTATTGTTTTTTTTAATGTTTTTATTGATTTCAGAGAGGAAGGGAGAGGGAGAGAGAGACAGAAACATCAGTGATGAGAGAGAATCATTGATAGGCTCAGAGGCACCTACATTTTTCCCATTTAAGGAAAGATGGAATGAAGGAAGGGAATTCAGTAGTTCTTGTCTATGACCTTAACTAACACATAATATTAACAATTTATAATATCAAATATTGACATGGATTTAGTACGCTTCATGTGAGGAGCTACGCCAAACATTTACTCTACAAGTCCAGGTTAAGAACTGTTACTGTCCTCATATCACAGGCGAGCAAACCTGTGCTCAAATTATTGTGAGTCTTATGACTTTGACTCCACTCAATTGAAAAGACTTCCAAGAAGTGGTGGGACCTTAGAGACTCTTTCAAAGATGGGAATACATTTAGAAACCTGGAAAGCTAGAGAAATTGCAGTGTTTGAAAATGAACTCTCTGGTGTAGCTTTGCAGGATTCTTCTTTCACTGCCTCAGACCACTGAGTGTCACCAAACTCTGGACAGAGTTTCTCTGTGCAGAGGCAGGACAGTATCCTACATCCATGAGAAGCTGATGGGTTTTTTGCTAGGATAGTTTTCCTGTTGATCTTACTGGAACCCAGGGGCCATAGATACCCACTGATGTGTTCTTGCCCACTGATGGCACCCCTCCTCTCTGTAAAAAACCTTACAAATGGATGTCATTTCTTCTTTCCTCCCTCCCTCCCTCACTCCCTCTCTCCCTCTCTTCCTCCTCCTTCCCTCTCTCCCTCCCTTTAATTTTCTGAGTTAATGAAATTAAACTATCTAGGCTCTGTTGCCAGATGCTGATTCTTAAATAAATAGATATGTAGTAAATAAGACGAAGACTCAAACATGGTTTTAAGAATGGCCACTTATCTGTTCAAGGGATAAAGAGGTATGAAAGAGGGGCTGGTTACTTAAACCTGGGGCACTGGGAAAAGCTTCATAGAAGAGGTTAGTGCTAGAACTGAGTCCTACCAATAAAAGATGTGTAGGTTGGGGATGGGATGGGCAGAGCAAAATGAGAAGAGCATTCCAGGAAGAGCATCAGCAAGAGCAGCCAAGGCTGGGGCAGAAAACAGCAGGACTGGTGGGAGGAAGGGGAGGGAAGGTTGTCTGGACGGGGGACGGTGTGAGGCAAGGCCATTAGAATAAGGCTAGAGAAGTAGACAAGGGCCAGACCAGGTGAGACAAGGAGAAGACCCATCACTGAAAATCCACCTCCAGGACCTGAACCCAACAAGGCAACTATAGATGGTGATCATGTTTTTAAAATTCTTACACAAGGTCTGAGCTTCAGTGCTTCAGAAATCTCAGATACTTCAGCTAACATAATTTGTGGTATCTTATACCGGTCCTGGCAAGATTAACACATCATCTTCCTTGATGAGAGATAGGTAGTTCGAACTGAGGATCAGTTTCATCTTTGATATAAGGTCTAAAGGGTGTTGGCTTTTTTTTTTTTCTGTTTTTTTTTTTTTTTTTTTTTTTTTTTTTTTTTTTTAACAGTCATCCCAGGACTTCTGTACAGAGCCTATTTTTCAGTTCTAATTTAATGCAAAAATATGTTACTGAGATTCAATATTAACAGCTAGCATTTCATTTTGAATATTTCCATATTAATATTTTTAAACAAACATAGTACTTACTACATACCAGGCCTTGTTTTAAGCACTTTACAAATATTAAATTTCCCAACGCTCTGACAACACAGTTGAGAGGTAGGCACCATCCTTACCCTAATTTTACAAAAGAGGAAAGAGTGGTTGAGAAACTTGACTGAAAATACAAAGCTGTAAAGGGTAGAGAATTGAGTGCAGGCTTCCTATTACAGAGATGCTAGACCACTTCTGTGTTCCTAATGGTCATTTATCTACTCTTCCAAGTTACTTTCCCGCCCAAAACTAAATTACTAGACAGATTTTGAAATTCTTTTGTCCATTTGTTTAATTGGCAACACACTACTAGTATATCATGCGGATATCATTCAATACAAATATTAGATTTCTATATTTTATGTACAAGTTATTATAGCTCGGTAGTTCTCAACTCTTGCTACACATTAGAATCACCTAGGGAGCTTTTAAAAAAAATACAGATATGCTGATTTAATTGGTTCGGATAAAGCCCGGATGTCAGTATTTTAAAAACTCCCCAGGTGATTATAATATACAGGATTGAGAACCTCTGAAATTGATCAATCATGTATTGATTACTTAAGGTGCATGCTACATATTTTACACACATTATTGTCATTTATTATGACAGTCTGATTGGATATGTATTATAATTATGTGTGTTCTACAGATGAGGACATTGAGGAACTGAGAGGCTATATAATTGGCCCAAAATTACACATTTAGTAAGTAACAGAGACAGGAAGTGTAAAGTGAAACCACATTTTCTTAACCATAACCACTGTGCATCTCACAGCATAAAAATTAACCTACAATGTCATAAATGGATCAGCATTCTAGAATGTATTTATTTTATATGTAGGTAGTAAGACAGAAAATCTGAATAATTTAACTACCTTACCATTCAGTTTTTAAAAAAATACTTTTTAAACTAAATTATGCACAGATATACACTTTTTCTGTTATATACATCTATTTTTACTAGAGCACCAGTACATAAATTCGTGCACGGGTGGGGTCCTTCAGCCTGGCCAGTGATCAGCCAGAAGGACTGTGGGAGGTTGGCCAGCCAGCCCTGACTGGGGACGACTGGGGCTGGCTGGCCAGGTAGAGGGACTACAGGAGGTTGGCCAGCTGTGGGAGGTTAGTTGTAGGAGCTCTCCTGCTTTGAGCATCTGCCCCCTGCTGGTCAGTGCACGTCATAGGTACTGGCCAGTCATCCCGTTGTCTGGTCTTCCAGTCATAATGGTTGCTTAGGCTTTTATATATATAGAATATTATTCTAGAGGCCTGGTGCACGGATTCATGTACTGGTGGGGTCCCTCGGCCTGGCCTGCGGATATCCCCCGAGGAGTCCTGGATTGCGAGAGGGTACAGGCCAAGCCGAGGGGCCCCACCAGTGCACGATCGGGGCTGGAGAGGGACTGTGGGAGATTGGCCAGCTGGGGAGGGATTGTGGGAGGTCTCCAGGGTGTGTTCAGCCTGTGTCGCCCAGTCTCGATCCACTGGACCCCAGCAGTAAGCTAACCTACCAGTCAGAGTGTCTGCCCCCTGGTGGTCAGTGGGTGTCATAGTGCCTGGTCAAACGGTCGAACAAACAGTTGGACACTTAGCATTTTAGGCTTTTATTATATAGGATATTTTATATATGCCATGTGTTTGTTATGTTAGTAGACGTTTTGCTCTATTCCTTTGTATTTCTGTATATGAATACATAAATGATCTAAATAAGTCTCCAAATCATGACTAGCTTATTAAGACTACCAGGCGCGTTACTATTGAGAAGCACATGATAGAAGTTCAATTTGTCTTTAGTAGAAAAGACTTGAGTTACACTGTGCAAAGAATGTCCTAACTGTAAGCAACATCCTATGGGCACATTTGCTACATGCCAAGTGAAGTATCTGCTACTTTCCTGCCGGAAGCCGGTCCACCCTTGCTGCTTGACACAGTCGCTGCAGGGAAGAAACATCTGCACAGCATGTTTCAAGGGACCTGGCATATGGCATACTGTTCTTAATATGTTTGCTCCCCTTCTTGGTGCTATGTGTTTTAACCAAGGTCACCTCTCCGAGAAAGGTTGTTTCCCCAGGTAGGGATTTTCCCCTGAAGTTAGGGAGGGAATAAAACCCCTTAACTAAGTGCCAGGCGGGTAATTAATCACTTTAACTACGAACAACCATGCTTAAGCTACATAATCTTTACTCCCTGGAATGGAGATAAGAAACGCCCTAACCTTTGGAATAGAGATAGATAGGATTAAAATCAACTGGTATAAATACAGATGTAACAAGACAATAAAACACAGACTAGAGTCTGGTTCTCCAGGCTGCAGCAGCAGCAGCCACAGTGGCTCCTGAGGGGCTCCAGCGGCTCCTCCTCTGGTGGCAGCACCGCCCCCAGCCCCAGCCCGAGCAAGAGCCCCAGCTCCCTCTCCGCCACACCACCCCGAGAGCCCCCTCATCCTCCAGCGCGTCGGGGGGAACAGGAGGCTCTGCTCTCGGAGGCCTGAAAGTGAGTGACCCTCGTCCCCTGTCCCCCATCTCAGCCCGCCCGCCTGCTGGCTTGGCCGCTTCCCCCACACACAACCCCCCCTCCTCCCCCGCCCAGGCAATGGCAGCGGCTCCATTGTCTCCGCAGCAGATCAGGGACCGGCTGCTGCAGGCCATTGATCCCCAAAGCAACATCCAGAACATCGTGGTGGTGTTGGAAATCATCTCCAGCCTGGAGAAATACCCCATTACCAAAGAGGCACTGGAGGAAGCGAAACTTGGGAAACTCATCAATGACATTCACAAGAAGACCAAGAATGAAGAGCTCGCCAAGCGGGCCAAGAAGCTGCTGCGGAAGTGGCAGAAGCTCATTGAGCCTGTGCACCAGAATGAGGCAGTGCTTCGGGGGCTGGCAGGTGCCCCTGGCTCTGCTAATAGGGGTGCCCGCAACTGCCAGCCAGAGGCGGGGGTGGCCAGTGCACCCAAGAGCATCCATGACCTGAAGAACCGCAATGACATCCAGAGACTGCCCGGGCTGCGGCTGGACAGGCTGGGCAGTCGCAAGCGCCAGAGGGACCAGCATGACCTTGGCCACCCTGGGCCACCTCCCAAGGTCTCCAAAGTAACCCATGACTCCCTGCTTCCCAACTCATCACCTCTCCCCACCAATGGGATAGGTGGGAGCCCCGAGAGCTTCCCAGGTCTCCTGCACAGTGGCAGGCACCAGGGCCCTGAGGGCAGCTGCGTGGAGCAGGGCGAGAATGACAAGCAGGGCATCAAGATCCCCATCAATGCTGTGAGGCCGCACACCAGCTCCCCAGGTCTGGGCAAGCCCTCCGGGCCCTGCTTGCAACGCAAGGCTGCAGTGCTACAGCAGCTGGAAAGAGCGGACCAGACCTTGGGACCTCCCCACCCCAAAAGGCCACCTCGCTGCTCCTTCAGTCCCCAGAACTCACGGCACGAGGGCTCCTTTGCCCGGCAGCGGAGCCCATACTCACTCAAGGGCTCTGTGCCCAGTCCCTTGCCTCGGCCCCAGTCGCGCGATGTCATGCAGATACCATCACCACTGCCACTTGCCCAGCCATGCACATGCCCTGCGCGGCGGCTAGAGCTGTTGCCCAGTGCTGAGAGCCCAGTGCACTGGCTAGAGCAGCCTGAGGGCCACCAGCGACTGGCAGGGCCGGTCTGCAAGGCAGGGCTGTCACCAGCTGAGTCCATCCTACCCCGGGCTGGCTTCTCCCCAGACTCCTCTAGGGCGGACAGTGATGCAGCCTCCTCTGGTGGTTCAGACAGCAAAAAGAAGAGGAGCCAGCCTCGTGACTACACGGTGAACTTGGGCGGCCAAGTGGCCGAGGCAGGCGTCAAGCCTGTGCGGTTAAAAGAGCCGAAGCTCACCTTGGACCCCATGACAAGACAGATCAAACCTCTGACCCAGAAAGAGCCAGTGCGGGCCGACAGCCCTGTGCACACGGAGCAACCCAGGACAGAGCTGGACAAACCCGAGGCCAAGATCAGCCTCCAAAGGCCCTTTGAGCAGAGGAACTGGAAGGAGCTGCCGCGCACTGAGATCATTCAGTCCTACCTAAGCCGGCAGAGCAGCTTGCTCTCATCTCCGGGCGCACAAACCCCAGGGGCCCACCACTTCCTGTCTGAGTACCTGAAACAGGCGGAGAGCGCCCGGCGTGGGGCCAGGACGCCACAGGTGCTGCTGCCTCCGGGCCCATCCACTGACCTCCCGGAGCTAAGCCGCCAGGTCACGCAGAACGATCTGGACAGAATCCACGCCCACCAGTGGCCAGGGGTGAATGGGTGCCTGGACACACTGGGTAACTGGTATGACTGGACGCAGTGCATAGCGCTTGATCCGCACGGTGACGGCGGGCGATTGAACATTCTGCCTTATGTTTGCTTAGACTGATTGGCCCCTCAGCCTCTAAGTGCATTCCCACCTTGCAGTCAGCAGGAGGGTGGCCAGGCCTGGAAGCCTCCAGTGGTTTGGAGCCCAGCTGAGGCAGAAGGGAGGGGCGGGGGTCTTAGGTCTCTCTAAGCCAGCCATGGGCAAACTATGGCCCGCGGGCCGAATCCGGCCCGTTTGAAATGAATAAAACTAAAAAAAAAAAAAAAAGACCGTACCCTTTTATGTAATGATGTTTACTTTGAATTTATATTAGTTCACACAAACACTCCATCCATGCTTTTGTTCCAGCCCTCCGGTCCAGTTTAAGAACCCATTGTGGCCCTCGAGTCAAAAAGTTTGCCCACCCCTGCCTAAGCTCTTCCCTCAAAATTCTCCTTCTTTTGTGAAATGCTGCTACCAGTTTACTACAAAATTAAAAGGAAGGACCGCGTGGAAGGAAGGCCGGCAAAGTGAGTTCAGAACTCTATAGCAAACCAGCTATAAAACGCGTCAGCTCCCCACCCCAGGAGAGGTGCGGACACTTCCCAGCATCCATGAGCTGGGACCTCAGTTGCAGGCAGGCACAGAAAACCTGTGGGAGAAGTTACCTTTAACACAGTGACAGAAGCATGCATCTCATCTATCTGTGCTTTCTGTTCTTTCATTTGGCCCTGAGTGTTTGAGGCAGTGGGCAACCCCATGGCCTATGGGCACCCCATCCAGCCCGTGTTTCCATCATGGTGCCAGATGGAATGAGCTGCTGGCATCGGGTGGGCCCCCTGGCCAGCCTGTTTGACCCACACTCCATGGGCATCCACACATGAGTGTTTCGTTTCAGTTCAAACTCACGTTTTAAAGAAATGCTGCAAAAATTTGTTTTCTAGAGTTTATTCCATTCCATTTCACCACCAGCCAAATAATGTTCCTTTCTATTTTTTCATTTTCCCTTTTCTGCACATATCTAGAAAACTTCACCTTTCTAGAGTCTCATCCCCAAAACAAAATGCCCCCACAGGTGCTACCTGTGTGTAAAGCTGTGCTGTTGGTAAGGAGACCTGTCTGTGTGCTGGAAACACTCATGACCATTCCTTTAGATTCGTTTGCCTGATGGTTGTCATAATACGATTTGCAAAAACAAGGAGCCTTAGTGAATGTACAGTATCTAGACTTCTGTGTTCTCAGGATGCAGAAGGGGGCAACTTTGCTATTTGGTCCAGTAAGTGGACACCTTGTGATATAAATGTGGAAATAAAAAATAAAATAAAAACCATTTGCACAAAAAACAAAACAAACAAACAAACAAAAACTCTATAAAAAAACAACAACAAAAAAACACAGAACCCTGGCTGGAGAACCTGGCTAGGCTGCTGATCAACTGAACGCTGTCTCAGAGGCTGTCTCCGTAAAAAGAACCTGGCTATGATGATCGACTGAACGCTGCCTCCATGTCATTCCTTCTTTGCCGACTCCGTCCACACCTTTGGGAACCCCTGGGCCTGCTGGGGTTGGACCCCAACACTTTCCATGCATTATTTCCAGTAAAACATTTAATGCATAAATTCATCTCACCCATCTCTATATTAAAAATGCCCCCACCTACGTATCTAGCTCAGGACCCCCTGCTGAAGTACAAACTTGTTTGTCCAGCTGCCTACATGGTGGCTCCACTGGAACATTTTTTAGGCATCTCAAACACAACATGTCCAACATGAAACTTCAATCCTTTTTTCATTTTTAAAATCCCCTCAGGCTTCCCAATCTCAGTAAATGACTATGTCATCTATCTTGCTGCTTCAGGTCAGAAACCTAGGACTCATCCTTGATTTTTATTTTTCTGCTCTTCTTCAAAATAGTCTTGTTGGATTAATCTCCAAAGTGTTTCTCAAATCCATCCACTTCTCTGCACTGCCATTGCCACCAAGATAGTTCCATTCATCAAAATAACTTAAAGGACCATTACCATAGCCTCCTAACTGGTCTTCTTGCTTCTTCTGCTCTCTCTCTCTCTCTCTCTCTCTCTCTCTCTCTCTCTCTCTATTTTATTGTTGACAGTATTACAAATGCCCCCTCAACCTTGCCCACCTCCACCCAGCCCCCGCCTCCTCGTCCCTCTGGTCATCACCTTACTGTTGTCTGTGTAGATGGGCTATGCATATATGTTCTTTAGCTAATCTCTTCACCCTTGTCATCCCATCTGCCCTTCCCACCTCCCCTCTTCAGCTGTCAGTCTGTTCCATATATCCATGTCTCTATTTTGTTCATCAGTTTATTTGTTCATTAGATTCTACATATAAGTGGGATCATACGGTATTTGTCTTTCTCTGACTGGCTTACTTCACTTAGCATAATAATTTCCAGGTCCATCCATGCTATCACAAAAGGTAAGAATTCTTTCTTTTTTTATGGCTGCATAACATTCCATTCTGTTTCTACCCTGCACCCTGCGACTAGTGTGGCATTCGGCTTCATCATTCACTTGCTTAAATCTTTCAATGGCTTCCTGCCTTCGCCTGTCAGGTGCTGCCTAATCTACTATTGACCAATCCTACTCTCCCCATCACTCACTATGTACAACCACACTGGTCTTTCAGTTCTTCAGCGACTCCAAGGTTCTTCCTCTGCTCAGCACACTCTTCGCCCAACTGCATCATTGGATTCACATCTTGCAAGTCTCATCTAATATGTCATTTCCTCCTAGAGACCTTTATGGACTCTCCTCTCCAAACTACCTCACTTCTCAGACCAGCCTTTATTTCCTTAATAGCATTTATCACCAATTTATAAGATCCAACTTATTCATCTATTTTATTGAATGTAAGATCCATTACACACTTATCTCTGCCTTGTTTTGACTTATCCTCAACTGGTTCCTTAGAATACAGCACAGACAAGGCTCACAAAAGAATATATTTTAGTTCTGTTAAATGCGTGTAAATGTCATGAATCTTTGATGTGTAATAAAAAAAACAACATAGTGTTTGTTGTTCATTATATTTCAGAAATGAGTGAGATCATGTGATATTTATCTTTCTCTGACAGAGACAGAGAAGCATTGATCAGATGCTCAAACCTCAGAGGGAAGGTAGCGGAGGGTGGGGGTAAAGGGGAGAGATCAAACAAAGGACTTGTATGCATGCATATAAACATAACCAATGGACACAGACACCAGGAGGTGAGGGCATGAGCGGGGGTTGGGTGGGGGGAGCAATGGGGGAATAAGGACACATATGTAATACCTTAATCAATAAAAATAAATAAATAAATAAATAAAACAAACAAACAAAAAAACATATAGTGATCACTTCTTGAGCTTTTAGGAGAAAATGCTAGACTAGTGGTTCCCAAGCTGTATTTTATGCAGTGATGAATTAAGAGGGAAAAAAAGGAGGAAAAATTGTGTTGCCAGGATTTTACCATTACTATTGAGTAAGTGTATATTGAAACAACAACAAAAAAAGCCACACTTTCTATATCCACCTTCATTCTACCAGACAGAATAGTGGAGAGCTAAGGAAATTCTAGGACAAAGACACTCTCAAGGCATGGAAATGGAAACAGTATGGTGGCTTTGCGAAAAATCTGTAAGATTGTTAGAAGAGAGTTACCAATAAAGAATTAGAAAAATTTGATAGGTTTGGGTGATGGTTGAGAGCTTTATGCACTTTGCAGAAGCATTTGGACTTTATCCTCTAGAATGAGCAAATCTGTAGGAAAATGACATGGTTCAATTTGCATTTAAAATTATTGTTTTGTGGCCAATGTAGCAAATGGTTTGGAGGCAAATGAACACAAAATAGTTAGAAGGTTGTTATAATAACTTATGAGCAAAATGTTGGCTCAGGCTTGAGGTAAGGCAGTAACACTGAGGATGATGGGAAAAGACAGGTTTTTTTTGCTCTGAGCTCTTCTTGGAATGGTTTCTCAGAGGCCTCAACTAAGTCCCATTTCCAGTTTTGACTTGTATCATCTACCTTTGAGCTTTAGAATGAATGTCATATTATTTATCTGTTGACCTTATAGCTCCCTTTTTTGATGAATAATATATTTTTAAAAACCACTACACTATAGAGCCTTTACTGTGAGGATTAAAATAATAAATGGATGTAAAAGCACTTTGCAATGTACCACACAAATGGAAACTATTTTTATTACCAGTAAGTCAATTTAGTTTGCAAAGAGAAAAATCACTTTCCCACATGTAAGCTCCCAGAAGCAGACTCCCCAGGCAGAATGAATCACTCTTATAACCATAGCACTTTTTCTTACTTCTATCATAACACCTCCATTAATTATAAATTGTTTATGCGTTGGATTTTCTTTGTAACATATAAATCCTTTAGAGGCAGGGAGAGAGCCTTATGAATCTTTGCCGCCTGGTTTGTGGTAGACAGTAAGTGCTCAGTAAATGTTAATTGCATGCATGAATGAATGATTCGTTCCCAGAAAAGGATAAAGGCAGGTGGTAGGGAGCTGATAGTGACTTCAAAGTTAAAATAAATAATAGAGTAAATACATTAAAGTGAAAGGCTCAGAGAGATGATCATATATTTTATTTTAGTCTAGAAGATATGCATAGATTTACTATACTGCCAAAATACTGTAACAACTTGATCTTAGTAAAGTTATATATTTTATAACACTGATACTTAAAAATCCTTTTGTAGTGTTGTATTAATTTACCCATTCATTTAGCCAATCTATTTCCAATGGCTAAATACAGAGCATTGTGCTATGGCTTTTAAATAGACATGCCCCTGCCCTCATAATGTTTACTATCCAGTGGGGGCTGGGAAATTTTATTAATTTAACTGAGATCACAGAACTAGGAAGGGACCAAGGCAGGTTGATTGATCACAGTGAAGAACCTCAAGGGTTATTTTTTTAAAATTTATTTTTATTTGTTGATATTAGAGAGAGGGAGAGAGAGAGAAACATTGGTGTGAGAAAGAAACATTGGTCAGTTGCCTCACACATGCTTCCTGACCAAGGATGGAACCCAGAACCTGGGTATGTGCCCTGACTGGGAATCAAACCTGCCACCTTTTGGTATATGGGACAATACTCAACCAATTGAGCCACACTGGCCATGGCAAGGGTTATTTTTTGTTTCATAATTAGTAAC